TTACAGCCACAGACACAGTACATGAAAAGTGTGCGCGCGGTCGCGAAGCGGTCGATCCAGAACGCTTGTTCGATCATCTAACAGAGTCAGCGAATTGTTGATCAACATGAGAGACCATCGCTATACATGGCAATTGAGTATGCAAAATAAAAGCGTCGTTTTCTTTGGTAAGAAAAATACCCGCATCCGAGAATCAGGTGTGCGTCGAGTGCAGACCACACACCACAAGTGACGACGGCCTCCAAGTAAATCTGGTAACTAGTGTTCATAGTGATAGCTGATAGTTGGTAAATGATAGTTGTAATTAGTGACAACTGATAGAATACAACTGCAACAGGCTAATCATTTCATTGGCAGAAAACATTTACATTTTGTGGAGGCCGTCGTCACTTGTGGTGTGTGGTCTGCACTCGACGAGCACCTGGTTTCGGAAAAATAGGGTAGAGGTCTGACGCATTTTCAGTCTGTTGAGACATTACTGCACATTTTGCGGTTTTTGAGTTTGTCATACGATACTCTACTCGGGGAGCCCGTTTCTTTCATGAATGCCGTCTCTCCAACCTGATCAAACACCACAGTTGAAAAAATCGAACACAAACCGAACACCTAACAATCCAGACTTTCCGCGTTGAATCCCTCATTATACAGGGAGGGGGAGGGGGGGGGGGGCAATTAGAAAAAGGCATTTTGTCTCCACATTTGATACCGAGTTAATCAAGATGCTAAATTCAAACCGGATGCTCCCAACTGAAAAATAAAGAGAGCATCTCGTCATAAAAAACTTAGCGCTCATGTCTTTCAGGAGGGGCAATCAACTGAGTGAGCCAATCACAGTACTTGGACTAATTATAAGCCTTAACGAGGGGCGAGGAATTTGGGTGAAAATATGAGCAATTTCATTCCCTATAATGTTACTCCCCTTCCTAGGCTTAATCATGTGTCATGATACTATCCGTCGGCCCTGTTTTGAATGCCCCCCCCCCCGTTCTCCCAAGAACATGAGCCGCTAAACTTCATGCCAGGGCCGTGACTTACCCGCGAAGACCTCTGACAAATTTGCAACGGGAACACGGTGAACGGATCTGATTCAACGGGGCCCGATCATGGAATATTACGCCTTTATTGTGCTGTACGACTGCTATCAACGGCTGTAGTCTGTGTGATAAAAAAATCTCTAATGTGAGCAAGGATATCTTTTTTGCCCCCCCCCTCCCCCATAAACCCTTTCCTCACTAACAAACATTTCTCCGCCGGCCCAAATACCAGTCAGCAAAATATTACGAATGCAAACCCACAGTCGAAATGTTTCACTAGAAATTCGGTACTCGGAAATCGGAACACGAATTATCTTTGACAGACGTGTATGAACGTGTTAACAACACGTTTATTCATTAAAAACCCATCTTAACATGTCTACCGGTCAGAAGTTGTAAAGCAGTGAACCGGCGATGATTTCATTTGATTTTCTCAAAACTAAAAAGCTGGTATCATAGTAGACAATGGTCGAGGATTCCTTGATTTCTCGCAGCACGGAACGCGAAAAAGTTGCTTTCTGTCCGAGCGAACCACACCCAAATTAGGGCACTAAATAACTCCAGGGGGGGGGGTTAGCGGAAGCATTTTTTTACCTCATTTGCCTCCAAGAGACAATGATGGCAACTAGATAAGATATGAAGGCGACCAAAAACTTACCATAACATTAAACTGACTGCATATCCCATAATTCTAGAAATGTCTATAGACTTCTACATTGTAAATTTACCCCACTCCATTTCACCAACACATGGTGGGAAGCAGCACCAAGTACTTATGAAGCACAACTTATTATGGATAGTCAAAAAAGGTAAACTTGCTACCCCGGAAAAACTGGAAGCAGTAGGAAAAGCGCTGTCGCGTGAGAACGTTGGTGACGCGGTCAAATATCGGCCTACGGTGGCGGTTCCTGTCTGCAATTGCGGTCGCTGGTTTTCCGAAAATTTTCAAATGGTTTTCATTCGGTGTTTTGAAGTTCTTGGTGCTGTTTTCGTTGCAATTCCTTCCTTCTTCACAGTTTTGCTCGCTTATTGAGTTTTCTGGGTGTTTACTATTAATTATGCGATGGCTTTCAGTGTTCTCTTTTGTCTTTTGTTCTGTCATTTCTCTGTCTTTTTTCACCCGCTCTGCTCTTATTACGGAGATTTTTGAGCCATTAAAATTGCAAGCAATTATATGGTGAATTCGGATCGAAATAGTGAAATTTCCGTCCTTGATTACTAGTGTAATATTTCTTGCTAGCAGAAACCTGTTGATGAACAGTAATTTGCTTAACAGTCGCCTGCCTTCAATGTGATTCCTTTGTGTCATTCGCTTCAGTGTGTCAAAAGTAGTAAAAGTTAACCGCCCTCAATCAGATTTGGTTTTGTTTGTCTTAAAATAAGTTTGAATTGCTTGTCTATGTTTTTCTGCCTGACATTAACGACAATTCTTTCATACGCTTTTTTTTTAATATTCATGGGTTTTTCCTTTGGAAGGAACTAAAACTAACCCTAACAAAGTAAAGGCTGCTCCATGCTGCAGTTATTCCAGACCGAGTTGCGCACTAGGGGCTTTTCCAAAAAAAAATCTCGATCTCGTACCTTTTTCGATATCCTTGATGTTTTGTGGTGTCGCATTGCTATGCCTGCAAGCCAGAAGATAAATACTTTTCTGTGGCGTTCTAGGTTAGCTCATTCTGGGGCTTCATATACTCTTCTAAACTCTTGTTATACTTGAATATACTTTTTGAAGGCTTCATTCTTGGTATCGCGAGTTATTCTGCATTTTTTCTTCTTACTTCTCCTACTCTATGAATCGATATTTCAGTTCGCATGAACTTGAACGACATCGCTCGTTTGAAGGGATGTACCTTGAAAGGACGCAGCCTGGAAGACGTCCTGTGGCTGTTCCGCTGTGGATTCCCTCTTGGGTGGAGCTCTACCGATTTCGTCGTTCTTTTGTGTGGACGAGTTGAATTCTCGAGGTTATGCTGAAAGCCTCGCAAAATACTTCATCGCCGAAGGACTCTACTCAGGACATGATGTGCTAGTGGTGGATCCCGTAGACGGAGACAAGATCTGGAAAGGAGTTCCCACCAGGATCGAAGGGCAACCTGCGTCTGGGAGTTCCTCCTCTATTCCGCCAGACCATCCAGAGGATCTACGGATAGCGTTTCGTTACGCTGCTAAGCCTCAAGTAAACTCGTCTGTTGGCGAGAAGAATCGCTACGATCTTGGAAAGCCGCTCAACACAGAGATGTTTTCTTCTCAAATTCTTCGCTACGATGGGTCACTGTCTTACGAAGCACTCTATGAGCACATAGTCGATTTGTGTAGAAACGAGCGGTACAGTATGACCAGAGGTCCTACAAAGAACCTATTAAGGATTGTCATTAGACACCTTGGATCACCTATCTGGAGCGACTCGTCCAGCTTCTCAGCGTTTCTCGTCCGCATTCGGCCTCTGCTGCGGAAGTCCTATGTGGTGCTGTTCGCTACATCTGAAAGCGAAACGATGTTCAGGAAACATTCTGAAGAGCTTTTTGTAACAGCTGACGTCTATATTCCAGTTGGTTTCGATTTCTGAGGAAGAACAAAAGAAGTTAAGCAGTTTGGATAAATATCACGGCTATTTGAGGATTCTACGATTACCCAGGATCACGTCTGTTGGCACTCACAATCCACCTGTAGATCTGGTGTTCACTCAGAAAAGAAACTCGTTCGACGTCTCGATCCTTCATCTACCTCCTGCCGTCGCTGATGGCGACAAAAACCCCAAAACCCCGTGCAGTATTGATTTTTGATATTGAAATTATATTTTATGATCAGTTGACAATGTTATCGCATATCGTGTACACTGTATGTTGTTATTGTTGCTTTTTTGTTGAAATTGCATAAAGTTTAGGTATGAGCGATGGTGCTGGAGGCTGTGGAAAGCAAAGCATTCCGTTAGCTCTCTTCTCTTGAACACAGATGCTCATGCAGCAGCCAAATCAGAACGGTATGTGATCGAAGTTTTTCATAAATCTAATGTCTCTAGTTCTGTCCCAATTATACGTACCCTGATTTATCGCGAAGTGTAGGTTTTGCATAATTTGCAATGATGGGCACAAAAGTGAAATGGAAGGGCAGTATAACATTGGTAATTTGTGGATTAGGGTTGATCTCAGAGTACGCGATCTGTCGCGCGATACACACGAATCGTGCGACACGGATCGCGGACTCTGACTCTAGCCTGAGGCTGCAGGACTTCTGCCACCCAACGGATGGTATGTCGATGGAACACTTTGAGTTGTTCACCGCCATAAGTCTTGCGGAGAAACCTAAAGCAAAGATGCTGTATAGTGTCTTGTGGAGAGTGCGAACTGCTTATACTCTTAAACTGCCTGCCTCACGGTTGACAGAAATCTTCGGTTCTGAATTTATCATCGCGTGTTTGGCTTTCGAAAAATCATTGGAAGGGCTGAGTAGTGGACCAGAAGTTGCCTGTCGTTAGTCCACCACCTCAGGCAGAATGCTTGCCGTTCGAACTTAGTATGGAGTGGCCTACATTGCCGAGCAGCGCAGATTTGCGTAGCATTCTGAGGGCATTTTTGTCATTGCTACTGGTTTCCGATAGTGGATATACTCTCATCACGACTGACATAGCTTTTACCAAATATGTTTCTCTTTCTGAACGTAAATTTCCTCATCAAGGCTTGGGTAAGCTCCTGTAGTCCTCCAAACGTTCTCGTCTTTAGTCTTCCAATTATAATTGGAAGAGATTCTTTGATTTTTTTCAAGTATCATCTTATTTATGGCTGAATGTGTTGGAACGAGCGTTAGCGGCCATATTCGAGAAACTTATTAGATGTTCGCCTTTTTCCGGCAGCGAAGGCTATTTGTATTTGTTTGATTCAAAGTGGCGATTTCCCACGAGTATCCAGGCTTTTTCTCTCTGAATGATATACTTCTTTGTGTCTAGTTGTTTGGGGTTAACAAGCTGTCAAAGTCAGCCATCTTTAGATCAACCGATGTATTCAGCAATTTTTGGTGGTTAGTTTTGTTAGCTCCCTCATTTTTCATGTTAAAATATATGTGTTCTATCATATCATCTATTTCTGCACTGCATCGAGGTACTAGTCTTTCACGCTGTTACTTTGTCCATAGCGAATCCTTGAAATGTAATATGCTTTGGCACTAGAAAGTTGCAGAGAAAAGGTCTAACCAGGTGAGTTTGGTGAAGTGTAACTACAGAGGAAGTGGGAGCCTGAGTCATAAAGCATGGTGACGTGAAGCATTGTTCTGGCATTACAACTGTTTATTGGTCTCTGAAATAGAGGTGAACGGAAACGAGGGCGGAGAGGCATGATCATGTGAGAATTTGAGGAACGGCTTTCCTCAATGCAACTCGGGAGCTTTCCTATTCTTTGTGTTTGCTTAGAAGGTGACATTAATATTTTATTCCGTTCGTCCATATACAATTCATAGGGGATAAAGAAATATATTGAAGAATGAGGGCACTATTACTCCGTTGCTAACTCAAGCTCAGGCTTGTTATTGGGGGAGTCTGTCTTTTTTTATTGTCTGCTTCGGTTTTTTTAACACCTTGAGTTATTTGAATTACTGTAAAGCATTTTCGGTATATTTGCACCTTCTCCTAATTTTTGCTTTGAACTTTTTTTGCTGGAAATTGAATATGGAGAGTGACCTTCTCATTCAAAAATAGCAATAGAACAATTTCAACTGTAGGCTTCAAGCTTACTTTTTGAAAGCCTCAGGTCTTATTTTTTGCTCTTTTTTCTCGGTTTTTGTGTTCTTCTACACTACCGCCACCCACGATGTCTATTTCGGCCGACTAACATCGTTTCTCAAAGGCCTAAACATGGCCTAATGCTTGAGAAGCGCTCACTAATCTCTCGAACGCCTCTCCCTTTTGACGTATTTTATCTTGACACCGTATTAGTAACCCATGGGGAATTTTCAGATTCTGGAAAGAATTTTTCCATTTTTTTTGGAAATTTTCTTGTTCCTTGGATTTTGCACCATGAATATCTCATAACCACATGCTCCTTCGTTCTCCTTAGTTCAAGTCTTGCTGATACTTTTATCTTTTGAGTGCTTGGTGTTTGCATAATGAATAATCGGATGCGCACAAAGGGGCCACACGTTTGAAAATCGAGGTCAGATCGGGAGCGGGTTTTCGCCTTGGCATTTCAAATCCATTCAATTGTCCTCGGGGAGTTCTTCTTTGCCTTCTTTCGAATGACGTAGTGGGAAGGGGATTCGGTTAGGTGGTGAATTTTGAATGTTTTTTTTTTCCAGCAGACCGCATTGCACTGAATCCAAGTATGAATTTAGCCATGGTTATTATTAGACTACTACTAATTTTACTATATTTTCGATTGTTGTGAAAACGGGCTTTGAAAAGACTAACTTGCTTCTCGCTTTCACTGCTTCAACGTTTATAACGGGTTCTGCTATCTTCGGAATGGATCTCAGTCATGACCCAAAGTGTAGAGCGCTTGTTTGTTGTACAACATCATTCTGTAAATCCTTTCAGAGCGGTCTTTCGGCTCTTTTGTTCTACAACCGTAAACGTGTTTATTATGTTGTTTGTTTGTCCCAATCGTTGGCGATGACTGATCAAACATGAAGCGTTATCAGCGCTGCCAATAAATGTAAGACTTTGATCGGCTTAGACGTCGCTATCTATCCCCTCATAGGTTTATGTGCTATTTGAAGTTCAATCGACATTATTTTCTGCTTCAATAGGTTCTTATCGAGTGGTAATAAACTCTCGCTTTTATTCATTCGCCCTTTTGCTTTGCCCGATCCTTGATGGAATGGGGATTTTGACTTCTTTAGAAAAGATATTGTGGAATGCTTGAGAAGGAAGTTGCATTGAAGTTTTCTTGTGTCAACGAATAAATCGGCAAATTTGATTAAAATTTGTCTCCGCCAAATGATCGGTCTATCAAGCTTAAAATATCACCCGTTGTTGCTGTTTCAGGAGTTTGATGCCATTTCAGGAAGATGTCGAAAGAAAATGGAGTGGTTCATCGGAAGACAGTCATCACCCTAGGCTCGACTGTGTCAAGACGAGAAGAATGGTCGGCGCAGTTGCGAGAAGTTGGCATCAGAATAAAGCATTTCTCTTCTCGTACCAAATATCTGGTTGGCTTGTAGCGTGGCGGACGCTCTTATAGGTGAGTTGACCTTTTTGCTTTTACTCTGTTAAGATGAACATTTCACGTGACATTTTCTCTCATCATTTCTTTTAACTTAAATTTTCTTTTTATATTGAACGAAGCGAAGATTCTCTTCTTATTATTCGAGCTGTACGTTGGTGATTTGAGCGTTTTTCATGTATTGCTTCGAAAGCCTGGTGGCTGTTCCCCCGGATCCAGATAATACCTCATGCCTTAAAGAAGCGGTAAAATGTCACCAAAAGCCTATTTCGCCCATTGTCCCCCTCAGACGTAATTCGTCTCTTCGAGAAGTTTGTAACCAACGACTCGCACGCACTTTCGTCATGCAGACACTGAAAGCGAGCGTGTACTCGACATCGCTGGCGCCGGCCTCTAAATCTATAGTAAATCGCCGACGAGAATTGCCATCTGGCACTTCTATTGGTTCACGATTTTGCATGTATCGAAGCGCGACTCCTCTCGTTCCCTTTGTAAGATACGAGAATGGTGTCGAAACGACAATGAAAACTCAAAAGCTCAGTACCATGCAAAAACTGTGTGATTGTGTCGTGAGATTGATGTGTTCCACAAGCAAGCGCAAGCTGGGGATCAGTTCATAGCATGAGAAATCCCTAAGACTGTCACATTCAGCCAAAACATCGCGCTTTGCTTCAATGGGGTTAGGGGCGCGGACGGATATAGAGCTTCATCAGCTTTCTCGAAAACTTCAAAAGTAGACAGTAAGATGCGTATAGCCCTGTTCACTCTCGTCTGGTGCGCCTTATCATGGGAGTCATTCGTTGCTTAGGCAGTAACTTCTTTGTAGTGGGACATATTTTGCCCTTTTGGTTATGTTAATCTATCTCATTCGCTGTGCTTCATCGCCTTCCTTTGCATTTTTTTAATTTGCAGAATCCGTATAATTTTTCTCATTCATGTTTCAGAGAGCTGTAGCGTTGGGCATCTTCATAGTCAATCAATCCTTTCTGGAATCATGCCAAAAAATAAAGTCTCATGACGACATCGATAGAGTGGTATGTTTAGGCAGGCAAAGAACCCGTCACCTCCCATCCTCCTTTTTTTCAGGCTCAAGAATGCAGGCTTCCGCGTTTTGCAGGACTAACGATCGCCTTCCTAGCTTTAACCATGATGAATTGTTTGGAGACCATCTCCACACAGTCCGAATCACACCACAATGTAGATCTTCTAGTCTTCGTTTTGAAACCTATCGTATTGCATTTTTGACTCGTTTTGTTGGATATCTTCTGTCTTTACCGTCACAGTTCGCGTTCGCGAAAGCTAATCACCAATCATTGCTGATTTTGGCGAACTTTGCCCAAGGCGGGATCTCTTCCTTTGGGCAGTTGTGCTAAGATGCAAGTAACCCGGGTACGACCACATCCCGCTGGGGCGAAATGGTCTCCGCCACAAACTCAGCATTTTGTGTTCTACTGAGACACTTATAAAATCTGTGTAATTTCTTCGTAATTGAGCTCAGGTGGTCACGTAAGCACATCAACGAATGGAGCAACTCATGTAGTGGTCGCGCCTGATTTACGGCCACCAGCATCATGTCATGGGAAATACCTTGTCACTATGGATGTAAGAACAGATCATTGTCATCTACATAGACTTGCAATGCTATGATTTTTGTAGAATTGAGAATTCGAGGCGGTCACTGTTATTGTTTTAGTGGTTCCGAGAGAGTATGGATTTGGGATGGTGTGCAAATGAGAAATGCTTCGAGTACAAATGGATAGAGCCGGCAACGCGGTTGCGACCACGAAATAGTTTTCTGAAGTTTCAACGGAGGTAACTTCAGTTGGATCCTTTCAGCTTCATTTTTCATTTCTTTTTTTGCACAATGTGTGCTGAAAAAATGGATGGGAGAAATGGTAGGTTTTGGTTTTGTGTACAGGGTCACAGTTGTTCGTATATCACTGGCGACGAAGTGAAGGGTTACCCACGCCCCTTACCTTTGAAGTGTGAAGGTGCGATTAAATCCGTGCAAGTTTTTGATGAAATATCCGTTTTGCCGTGCATCGGGAATGATTTTTTTGGGAGAACATACAGAGAGGCTGAAAAGTATAGGGCGCCATTTTTTTTGAGTAAAAGTAAAGAAGGAGGCTACTGACAAACCAACATTACAGAAAGATAGAGTTGGGCTATGTATAGCTAGGACAAAAGGTATTCTAAGTTTGACGATTTTGCTTTGACAGCGGCCTTTTCTGACAATGAGACTCTTTATGATATCAAGTTTTTTTGGATTTTTCCATCCATCCTTCGTGAAAAAATAACGTGACCCGTTGCCTGGCTAGGCATTTTAGCCTGTAAATATTTTGATACCTTGTGTTATTTTACCAGTGTGATTTTTTAATGTTAATTCCAGAAGGCGGGCGGAGTCAAGTGCGAAGAAGTACAAGCGTTACCAGCTGTGTTTGGAACTATTCAAAACGGAAGTCAATTGCTTGAAAGCATCGGATTTTTTAGTGAGAGTAAGTGACACATAATTTAGAGTGCTTATGGTTAGAAAAATGTAGGGTTTGAGTTAAATATGGAGTACGCGACAGGAGGCGAGAAGGCAGAGACGCAGACGGTCAGCGGACGAGTCGCAGCGCGTGCTGTGTGATGTGGGACGTACTATGGTACATTCTATTTAACTTGACGAAATCACTGCAGTACGCGCTGCGACTCGTCCGCTGACCCTTCTGCGTCTCTGCCTCTCGCCGCGCGACGGGCCTCCTGTCGGGCGCCCATAAATTTGATAATAGTGATGACATGACTTCAAGCTCGGAGTGTGACCCGAATCGGAAAAATTTCTAGCGTTTCAAGCTTCTCTTTAGATTTTCGAAGAGAACGTATATGTGCCAGCGGAAGCGAACGACATAATGTTTGGTGTGTACGGAGTGATGCGGAAGGCCCACGACAAAATTGTACAGAGAATGGGTCAAGTGCTGGACACATGGAACGATCACAGTACTGTTGGAGATGTGAGATTACTTTCCCGTAACTTGTATTTTTTTGACGCAACTAGATGAATGTAGTATACCTATGAAAGACCTGAATGTTTAAGTCTTTTTGCACCACTTTGCTCCTCCAATGAATCCCTCAATATCCTCACATGTTTAGATATTCGTTGAGGAGTCTCCATTCCTCATAGAAGCCTATTCACCATTACTTCCATGCGTTGGAAACTTCGTTACAATATCTGAAAGAGAACAGAAAGAAGAAATTGAATGGAGTTCAATGGCATTTATAACGTGGTAAGTACGATTCTCAAAGGCACGAAAGAATGAAATTTGGGCATTGTTCAACAACCTTTTTTGGATACACAATGCACATGATTTTTCCATTGCGAAATTCGTAGCGGCAAGTTGACGCTATAAAGGCTTCAAACTTGGAAAGAGGTAGAGTACTCCAGTGTCTTGTTCTCACCCTGGGGAGATGGCCATAAGAAAAGGCTTAATAAATTTGACTGCACGGGCGGCTGTGTGCGTGTAACAGCACATGTCCACGGCATAAGTTTTGCCCTTTTGCAGTATAGAGATCGAAGTCTTCATGCCACAGTTCCCATTTACGTTCAGGATCACAATAGCACTTGATGTGGACGCTGTGCCACACAATTTTCGGGGACTTTCAATAGGGGCTCTCTCCCCCTTTCCCCAAGAAGAATCTAGTAACATCCAACCGACTCACGGGGAATGGAAAACCGTTTCTAATCTGATTTCACCGTTGAATCGATCGGTTATGAGCAGTGTCACCTTTCTCTATCCACTCTCATTTTTATTGAACACAAATTACATTGCCTTGAAATATCACTACCTTAGAAACTCTGGAATTAGTCTGTTTGTCACCAGCACGTTCCACATGGCGTCCCGTCGCGCGATTTGCGGGAATCGCGCGACGGATCGCGGACTCCGACACTAGCTTTACAGTCTACGTTATAACTGAGGAGCGTTTCGAATGTAGTTTTGGTTTCAGGAAAAAGAGCGTGATAGATCACTAGGGAAGCAAAAGGTGGACTACTTGTTGAACATTCCATTCCAGCAGATAACGAGCAGAAAGATTCGCGTGCAGTCCTTGAAAGGCATTGGCGATTCTTTTTTCTATTGTCAGGATTAGGTGTCAGTACTCATTCAGTAAGAGTACACAGTGGCATTCCAATATCAACTTGTTAAAATGGGGAGTGCATTGCATATCAGATCTACAAATAAGTTTACGGGGGTTCCTCTTATAATTCAACTGAATACAATCTGGCCAGAGAAAAGAAGCAAAATGGTGTGATGAATTGGAATGCTTCCCCATGAAAAGAAGGCGGAAGGGTGGTGCAGGTGGCAAGTGGCAACGCTTGACTACGCGAGCGGTCCGGGATCAATATCCTGGGTCGTGAGTCGCCCGGGCCATCCTCCGGGGTCGGTTAATTGGTACCAGACTTGTCTGGGAGATAAAAACACTGACTTGTACATCGGCTGGCCCCCGCAAGTCATTGTATAGGCCACATCGCATTCAAACGCCACTACGAATGTACAAATGGAAGTAGAATGCGTGCCGCATCCCAAAAGGGGATTGATCAACAATTTATACACTTCGTATAATGGCGCTCCATTGAAAATTATTCCGTTTCCGGTTAATTCGCTAGTAGCAAATATGCGTAGATTCGCTCAGGAACCTCCATCGGTGGGTGTGTTACTAGCAAATTCCCGAGTTCGTTTCTAGCGGATCGCTGATTCGCAAAATTTGACACCGACCTTACGGTTATGAAATCGTAATTCATCACAGTGGTTCGGGCAACTATTAGGTTGTCTCAGAAGTTCGTGCGTATTTTGAACTTATGTTTGAGCCCGCTCTTTTCCAAGCACATGTGCAACCTATCATCGTTATATGTACCACCACTATCAGTGACTTGTTACCAACATCCAACCAAGGAATGGCTATTCAACTCTCAAAAGGCTGGCAGTTATGAGCTGGAAAAGGCAGTGAGGTTGATTTTGAGGTGCTCGTGGGAATTGTATTTTTTGTCGGCACGAAGGCGGCTGAGCAGAAAGGGCAGATGTCTTTCGAAAGAGGATGATTACCGCTGCACGATGAATGTGGTAGGACTTTTCAGCTAAGCTTCGATATTGAGAATCGCTTCATTTTCGAAACGTGTAGTCTCAGGTGTCGTGGAGCGTACACACTTTTTTTGAGTTTTGACGGCAGTTGTTGGACTTTCACCGTGAGTCTCTGCCGTTGATCTGCCTACACATGAGTGAATTCATAGCTATAATGATTGACATGCCTTTAGTGGTTTACTCGAGAACGCACCAAAAGAGGTGGAGCACGACCTTGTGGTGAATTTCTTCACTTTTCACCCTCTTCTGTTCGATCCAGTCCCTGAGGATTCTAGGTGTGGTTATCATGAAACCTGAGCTTCTCAACTGCAGTAGTGGCTTTGTTCAACCAGGGCGTACGGGTGGAGTAGGAACCAAATTATGGACGGAGTGCGTGTCGCACTCCTGTCATCGGTGGTCAATTCATGGGGGAATCTTTGGCGAGGCTTCAAGCATATTTCGAAGGAGCGAGAACCTTCACGAATTGTGCATCTGGAACATCAGGATGTGGTGGCCACAAAGCAGGGAGCCCCGTGTGGAGTGGCTCCCAGGAAAGAGTACAGGCTCTCCAAATCCGACACTGATGACCTCTCTGAACGAGGGTTTGTCTACCAGCTGTAGTCTCCCAAGCAGAGAAGATCCAGCTATTCTGATACCTCACTGTTGGTGAGGGCAAGGAGATGCACCGCGATGCAGATGCCGCTTTTGGCTTCAATCGGTTTGTGGCTCAGTAGAGCTGCTTACGTCAGAGCGCGAAAAACATAGCTCTTCTCTCTTTCCACTTTGAGCTCGAAGAAGGCGACGATGGTGGGTAAGATTCGGGTATAATTTACTACACGGTGTGCCCTATCTACAGCCTACGTGAACATATTTAGAATTTGTTGAAGGAGCTTGTGGCATGAGATCCAATAAATACGCACGAACTTTCGAGACAACCTAATACATCGAAACTCGCCATTAGATTCAGATGTTAGCGCGTATGAGATCGGCCGCGTCTTTCAAAGCGCGCGTGTTTTTGCATAAAATATAAGGCAGTTGTGGAGAAAATAGATAATTTTAGCGAGACAACTTAGGTGAAATCTGCCCGTTTTGTAGCGTATCGGTCACGGAATTGTTTGTTTAGGCCGTCTACATGCATCCACTCCATCGCCTTGCTGGATAGTGTGATTCTCTGGCGTGTGTAGAACGTAGTTAGCGCCGTAGTCTAACAGTAACTATAGCGAAGTGTTGGCTTCTGAAGTTGCATGCGCTTCTAATAAACTTGGTCGAAAGGACTTCAGTCGTACTTTTTCAGAAATCCGAAACCAAACGACCACGCTCGACCCCGATTTTGAGCCTTTGGGAGATGCCATATCGGTGATTGACCGGATGTTGGTGTGAGTTTTTGAATTGGCATTGAATTATTTTTGGGAACAAGCTGAAATAGTTCATTTCAAACTTTATTGAATTGATTTCAATCGAAGTAGTCTAGGCAGGTGAAATAACCTCAAAAATGTTATTTCGAGTATTTTTTCGAGTGAATTTTCGAGTATTTTTTAGGACGATCAATGAAAGTAAAAGACTTGGAGCGGAAAGCGAAGCGATTTTCAGGAAAATACAGGATCTGCCAGTATGTTTTCCTAGCGATTTGATGTTGTTTTTCTACTGCTTTCTATATATTTTCAATTTCTTTTTTGCTGATATTAAAAATCTATTAATTTTTCTCCAGTCTATTAATCTATTAATATTCACTAATAAAAATGTGAACACTTTTTCTTTATATTATATACCTGTTAGGAAATTACTTGCTTTTCCAGGGTCACATTTTGAGATCACCTCGGCAGTTTGTTTGCGCCTTGGAATTCCTGTCAATACCAAATGGCGATAACCTTTGGAATTGTTATGTTGTGGAGCTGCTCCTTTTCAAGGACTGTGTTCTGGTATGATTTTGATAAATAACTCGAAGTTTAAAAAATTATTAAAATTATTTCTGTTTTTGTTCATTGGGAGGAAGTCCAGGGGACTAAAGAGATGGCTGGTAATTGCCACCTAGTGCCTTACTTGCCAGTGGGCCCAATTAGTCTTTTTCTTCTTTCGTGCGTTCTATACCTCTTAATCGTCAGCAGTTTGGCAATTATCCGTTCAGATGAGAGATTGTTTAACTAACAGCTGTCTAACTGATAAGTTGATCGATTTCGGGTGGAACTCGCTACAGTTTGTTAGCGAATCTGATTTATTTTTCAAATTAGTAGTGATTGA